CCCCCCGGACTCCTTTCCCCAGACAACCCAGGAGACCTTCCGCTCCTACCAACCGGCATCCCATTAAGAGCCCACCCCAGAACCCCTGGCTCCCCGACTACTTTCTGCACGCACAGACTACCTCTTCTCCCCCCCTCCCCGGGAACCCACAACATGCTCAGCTCGGGCCTAAGGAATGTGCAGGCCACGCGTATAAACATCCCCGAAGATTTCAGTGGGCTCTGATGTTGGCCCTTGGAGCTAGTGAGGAGGAGGCTCCCGCGGATTGGGAGGGGGCAGATAAAATGCCAGGGAAAGCTGCACTAGAGGCGATGCCCGGTTTTTTTCCTACTGCCTTTCTCCACCCACCCCCTCCCCCATGGAACAGGCAGAGGTTACAGCAAGTTCAGGATCTGAAGGCCATCTGGAGAGGCGGGACGGCCGCATAAATACACTGGGTCTCTTGGAGGGCTAGGGCCTGCCGTGTCACGGCGCCAAGAGCAGGCCGTTGCAACCCACAGAAGGTGGGCTTGTTTAGGGGGTGAGTGGGTTTTTGATGGAGGAGTGCATTTGCACGATCACGGAAGGTGTGCATCGGATGAACCCCATAGTTACGAAGCACAGGCTGTCAGGCACGGGGAGATGGACAGGGGCGGATATCACGCACACACTTGCATGGGACACAGTAATGAACCTAAGAAGAGCCCTGTGGGATTAGGCCAGTGGTCCATGTAGCCTAGCATCCTGTCTCACGCAGAAGACACGGCAGGGTACACGAAACGAGGGGGAAGAGCATGGAGATAGAAAGGGGTAAAGAGTGGGCAGCAGGCACCGATCCCATCCAGCCCACAGGAGACAGATGGAGTCGAATTCCACATCTGCCAGGCACATATGCGCAGCCTAGGGCAGCATGCCGCTCTGAAATGGGACTAACAGCAACCCTGTTGTTTCAAGGGCAAAATGCAATGGAACAGCCAGCTGAAGCGCCCTGGAAAGGAAAACACACCAACATGGATGGGGGGGGGGTGCGGGGTATGGAAGGATGGAGTCAAGCAAAGCAGACAGGCGCCCCTGTGGACGGAGAGGAGGGCAGGTAGGCAAGTTGGCACCAGGCAGGTGGGCGAGGGATTTGCGGGGAGGGGGCGAGCGGTCACTCACATGAACCCAGGTCCTTGGGCCCCCGGCGTTCGGGACTCTTGACCGGTCCCTGCAGAAGGCTCTTCAGACTGACCATGGTGGAGCTGGGGCCGGCCGGACCCAGAGGAGGAGAGGAGAGCATGGGGCTCGGCGTGGGGCTAGTCTGGGCCGCAGGGCGGGCCATGCCGACGAGCACAAAATCCAGGAGGAGGAGCCCCCACCGGCGAGATCCCTTCTCCTTCGACGGTGTCCGGGGGGTGGGGGGGGGGAGAAACCGAACTGAAACCAAAACCCCGTGGAAACAGCTGCAGAAACAACGATCCGGATTGGAGGCTGAGCGAGATCCACCTATTAGGTATGAACGCTCAGTTGCAGAAGGGGGAGGGGAGCAAGAAAGGTTGGGAGATTATTATTATTATTATTTTAAAGGGAGGCGCGGGGTGGCGGAGATGGCTCTTCTCCCACTAGCCTCGCAATAAGCCTCCAGGGGGCAGGCGATGGCCTCCCCCCCCCCCTCCGCCGCTCCAAATTTAGCAACCAACCGGCTCTCAGAGGGATCTCCCAGGAAGAAAGATTTCCTTGCAGGGACCGGGGGGGGGAAGAGGAAAAAAAGATAAACCAGAAGATCTGCAATCCAAAGAGATTTCCCAGGAAGAGGACGGTGGAAAAAAATATCCTAGAACTAAACGCTTCCTTCCGCAGGGCAGGTCAGCGGTGAACCTTAAAGGAGAGCGCCTTCCCCCAAACGCAGAGGCAGGTTCTCCCTCTCAAGCAGGCGATCCTTCCCCCCAAAGATCTCGCAGTCAAAGAAGCAGAGGGTGATCCCCGCTGCTGCGTCTTCCTCCTGGCCGAACCCAGCCTTTAAACGGGATGCAAAAATAACAACACTAGTAATAATAATTTTAAAAATAGGGTTCCCGTGCTCTACCGGCACTGAGAGTTGGAGGAATCTAGTCCCCCCCCCGTTTAAAAATGAAACAGAAAACAGATCTCGATGCTTCCCCAAATCCGTCTTTCCAGATTTCCTCAGCAGCTCCCTGCAGCCGATACATGCATATTTGAACAAATAAAAGTGTTTTTTAAAAACAAAATCGCTCTACTGTCCTCTAAGCACTTTACAACTATCTCCGGATCTCACCCCCCCTCCTTTTGCAACATTCGAACAGGGAGGGGCTAAGCGACACGGGTGGGCGTGACTTAGCGGAGCCTTCGCCACCAATCAAGGCACGCAAGGCGTGAGATTTGCAAACACCGCTCCCCCCCTCCCTTCTCGCTCTGTCATGTGCGCCTGCCATGGGGCAGGTGGGGCTCTGACCTAGATTTGGCCAATGGCAGCGGAGGCGATGGGAGGAGCCTGACCCAGTTTTGGCCAATGGGGAGCCGGCAGAAGGGGAAAGGGAGATTGTACAGGATTGAGAACACGTGGGCAGGCACGTGTTGCTGGTGTTGTGATGAGGGAGCCGAGCGGGGAGAAAGTTGGGATTTAAAGGGGCCGCGAGAAATTAAATGCGAAAACCTGAAGGGTAGATTGGAATCTCGGCCAAAGGGGCTGGGGAGAGACTGAGGGATTAAATCCGGAGTCAATGCCCACTGACGTTTGGTCAGAGTCAAGATACTCTTCTACTCTTTCCTCCAACAGAGCAAATTCTCCCCAAAACAATGCATAGGAATCCAAAGGATTAAACCCTATGCTAAGGTGGCGCCTGTCTCACTATGAAAAGTCACATCAGCATATACAACATGTGCCTACAAGAAAGGGACGTTTTCATTTCAGCAGCACAGCTGGGCAGCTATGCTCTCCTTGCCAGAAATGATTTCAGTACTGCTCTTAACAGTAAAATGTTCAGAACCAAGGCAGACTCTTACTAAGCCCAGTATATCTGGCCACAGGGCTGGAACGGGGAATGCTCACCTGAAGCCCACAGAGACAGCCTTCATATTTGTCATGCCACCAAGGTGGCTCGAGGTGGTGGTGCAGTCTTCTCCTCTCTTTACAACAATCCTGCGAGGTCGTTAAAGCAAAGGGTGGCCAAGGTCACCCAGTAAGCCTCAGGACAGAGTATGGATTTGAATCCAGGCCTCCCAGCCCTAGTCGGAACCATTGTGCCATATTAAGCCTCTACAAGAATGATGCAGAGCTGCCTATTATGCATCACATGGGAAGGGATTCTTCTTCTGCCAAGGGCAGATTCCCCCCACCCCCCAATCTCAGTGCTGCAGTGGAAAAAGCTGCACACAGGTTGTCGAGGGACCGGTGCACAAAAGGGCCTGGTCTGCTCTCCCAAATGAAGTTTTTTCGCTTGCGAACTACCGGCCAGGAGAGAGAAAAGAAATTACTTTGCACAATATGCAGTTAACCTTTTGGGAACTCATGGGATGTGGGGACGGGTGCAATCTTAGATAGCTATTAAGAAGGGATCAGGCCCATTCAAAGAGGCTCAGTCCATCTATGACTCTTAGGAACAGGGGCTGAATGAGTCCTCCATGTTCAAAGGCAGTAAACCTGTGAATGCAATTGCTGAGGCAAAGGGGCAACAACAGCATTGCATAGTGGTTAGAGCATCAGACTCAGATCTGGGGAACCCATGCTGGGTTCCCCAGACTGCCACTGAAACCTGCTCTCAGTCTAACTTACCTCACAGGGCTGTTGTGAGAACGGAGACAGGGAGAAAGCTGTAAGCCACTTTGCATCCCACGAGGAAGAAAAGTATGGTATAAATGAAGGAAATAAACAGGGAGAGCCTCTGGCCTCCGTGCCCCTGCAGTGTGGGCCTGCCAGAGCACTCATGTGCCTTCTGGCACCAAACAGGGTGGAACAGGAAGAGTGTCAGTGCAGGAACTGGCTAACATTCTGGAATCCTGAGGACTTAATAATATGTAACATTTGTCTGAACTTTCACTGTGTTCAAAGTGGTTTTACATAACACAATATATCAGAGCTCTTACAACGAGCCTGTGAGGTATGCCAGTATCATCCTGCTAGGGAGGGGGGTGGGGTGAGACCCAGAGGATGGCTTTCCTCAGGCCCTAGAGCGTTTGTGGCAGGGGCAAGGTGTGAACCCTCTGAACCGCAACCCGTCCTCTCAGCCACTATGCAACACCAGTTCCTTGCTCCCAACACAAAACCAAGTTGCTAACCCCCTCATGACTGTGAGCCAAGCTAGAAATTATGTAAACCGCACTAGGTGGAAGCTTCTGAAGGTCAAAGTGGAGGACTTCTGGATAGGTCCCTGTGGCTCCTTCGCCAAGCCTAGTCCCTTGTCCTCAAGAGATCAAGCGCCTTTCAGTGCTCTGTTCCTAAAACTGCAACCAAATGTGTGGGGGGAAAGGATTCTAATTCCTAAGCATCCGACCACAGCACTACCCAGAGTGAACACGAAATGTAAATAAGTTAGTGCCCGCCCAATCAACCAAACTCATTTATTCTGATTGTGAAGTTTGGGTGTTCTCTGACTGAAGAATCTGGGGCCTGCTACAAAATCAAAAACCCCTTCCTCTGCATACAGCTTCATTACCAGGCACAGATCTGTCCGAAGACACCAATAACGTTCTTGACGGCGTCTTCCCTTCCTTATAGAAAACCTCCTTCCTCTCGCATAACAGCGAGACCTGGGAGCCACTTTAAAACAGCAGGACACAGACGACAACGTGCAAAAAAGAAATCCTGAAGGTATACAAAGCAATCCCTCACAATGAAAACCCACAGGAAGGCCCCACCGGTCTGGAATCAGGGGGCAGGGTTTTCAGGCTGGCTTTGACCCCAGTATCTTCTTCCTGTTCAAAAAATAAAGTAGCAGCTCCTAGTCTCTATTCCCTTCCCTCCTACCCAAAAGGAGGCATTGGCTGGAGGAACCAAAGGACTGGGACGCTTTCAAGGAAGAGGGCCCTCTCGTCTTCCCGGAGCAGTCGACCTAGGTCAAATCCGGGGGCTGGGGGCCGTCAGGAAGGGAAGGAGGCCGCTGTCCGGGGCAGGGTCCATTATCAGCTTCTGGATCTGAAAAAGAGAGAGACATCACAAGTAGGGTTGCCAGCTCCGGGTTGGGAAATACCTGGAGATTTTGGGGGGTGGAGCCTGGGGAGAGCGGGGTTTGGGGAGCGGAGGGGAGGGGACTTCAGTGGGGCATGATGCCACAGAGTCCATCTTCCAAAGGGGCCATTTTCTCCAGGTGAACCAATCTCTTTCACCTGGAGATCAGCTGTAATTGCAGATCTCCAGCCACCGCCTGGAGGCTGGCAACCGTAGCCACAAGTTATCACATCAGGTTAAGGCCCCAAAAGGCCTGGGTTCACATCCCCACTTTGCTATTTATTTATTTTTTTTAATATGGAACGCTTCACGAATTTGCGTGTCATCCTTGCGCACGGGCCATGCTAATCTTCTCTGTATCGTTCCAATTTTAGTATATGTGCTGCCGAAGCGAGCACATCCCCACTTTGCTATGAAGTTTACTGGGTGAGCTTGGGCCGATTGCTCTCTCTTAGCATGACCTGCCTTTACGAGGATAAAGGGGAGGGGGGGGAGTAGAAGTACATACGCTACCCTGAGCTCAGCTGCCGATTTTCCCAGAAGCGGTTCAAAAACGGTTCAGATTCTGGCTCATATTTACACGATCAGAAATATCCAAGGTTGTTCCTTGAATCTGCCACACGCCACTGGAGAGGTTCATCCCCAGGCAAAAGAAAGCCCAAGTGCCTGAAACTCCATTGACTCCCATTCAACTTTCTTACCTTAGCCTCAAATTCCGTCTCCCCACCACCACCTTTGGCTCAGGGACCTGTAATCGACTCTACTGCTTTCCATGGATTAAACAATCCATTTCATCTGCAGAGATTTGCACACAAAGAAAACAGCACGTCTTGGGGGAGGGGGGAGAGCTTGTTTTCTTTTTGTCAGATGATACCCACACATGCCATCGCAGGCACCAGAAGAGGCATTCCTTCCTGGGTGGAGAGAAGGAAGAATGCCTCTTCTAAGAAGGCATCTGCTGCCCAGCGGGTTGCAATTGCTTACTTTAAAAATAAACAAGATGTGTTTTTTTTCCACATTTTGCTTCCAGATTAAACACACAATCTAAAATGAATGGGATGTGGCGAGGGGGTTGACTCGAGACTGCTGAATTTTAACTGATAATGAAGCTTAAAACAATGGATCCACCCGGACTGAATCGAGACCTAGGTTTCCTGTCTTGTTACCAGTGCTGATTTTTTCCATGCCTACTACCTCTCTGCGTATCACACGGAATCTAATCATGCCTGCTATTGTCATTCACCTGCTAATGTCATTCGGCATCTGAAATCAATCCACTTTCCAACATATAGGTCAGACGGACTCACATTCCAGCTGGACCTGAAGAAGTGAGCAGTGAGTCACGAAAGCTCACACCCTACCACAAATGTTGTCAGTCTTTAAGGTGCTACTGGACTCTTACTCTTCTACAATAAAAATTGTTTGACTAATGAGTTGCAAAAATCAATCATCTGGTTCATATGCACTAAAGTGGAGGTGAATCAGGAGGGCTTGATCTTGCCAGGGTGTGTGTGTGTGTGTGTGCATCTTCCAGAACCCCCCCTTCAGCTTCCAAGTCATTCCTTGCAGATGTTAACAAATCCTAGGAGCCCAGAGGGGCCATTGCAAGTTCAGCCACTGCTCTCCCTAGAGCAGAACAGGCAGGCCTTCCAAGTTGCTATCTGCGATCTTTACCTTCTGTGTACAAAAGCCAGGATGGTTCTGCCAAATCCCATTAATTACCACTGTGAGTCCTTCTCGGGTCACTGCAAGTTTGCGAGAGAATTCAGTCCATCACAAGAAATACCCGCCCTCGGTTTCATTATTTTATTGCTGCATTTAACAGTAAAGCGGCTGATCCCCATGCCAATCATGGGGGGGGGGGGGGGACAGGCCTATGAGATACGTAGGCCTTTTTACACAGCTGAGAGATTCCTTACATGCAGAAAAAACATGACTTTGTAAATTTGCTGCTCCCCCCCCCCTGCAAATGCTGGTGAGAAATGAGCGTGGAAGAGTTGTCTCAGTGCTTAGTTCTTGTGGCCCTTTCTTACACACCCAGGGAAATACTGATTGCCACTTTGGGGTCAGGAAGCAATTTTTCTCCAGGTCAGCTTGGCTAGAGGCCCTGGAGGGTTTTTTGTCATCTTCTGGGCATGGAACAGGGGTCACTGGGGGTGTGGAGGGGGAGGTCTTTGTGAATTCCCTGCATCGTGCAGGGGGTTGGACTAGATGACCTTGGAGGTCCCTTCCAACTCTATGATTCTGTGATTCTACAGCCAGTTGAGAGTTCTTTACTGGAGGGTAGAGATGGGGAAGTCATCCTGCTCAAGCCCTGAGATCTTATGGAATCCTAGAGGAGGGGACCCATTTCCAAATCCTTTCTCTCTCTCTCTCCCTCGTAATCTCTCACAAGCTCCCGGCAGGTTGCTTTATCTAATACAATACCTAATAGTAAGTGGGTGGTGTGTGCCAATCGTGAAGGCAGGTGTTGCTCCATACTCAGGGAACTCTTTGGTGTGCAGAACAGCATGACTGTACCCCCACCCCATACCAGGTGATGAAGGATGAGCAAAACATTGAGAGGTTAGTTACATGAAAGGGGGGGGGGAGTGGGAAGAGGTGATTGGTTTGCTCAAACCCTTAAAAACTAGTATCCTGTAAGGTTTGGGATCAGGGTGAGATTTATCCCCCCCCCCAATGTCTAACAGGCCCCCAATTTGTAAACTTGCTAGGATTACAGTAAAATGAAAGTCAAAATACTTGTGATTTTACACTGGGGGCTCTTTCACTTGTCCAAAAAACCTCGGCCCACTGCGCTGAAAAGCAAGCCAGATGCTCCCATGACAAAAAAGGAATGTTATCCTTGGGGGGAAACTTGTAGAGGTCTGTATGTATGTGGCTGCCAGACTTCACTACAGGTCGTACGGCAAAGGGGGGGGGGCAGACCCAGGTATCCGCGGAAGACCGGAGAATTACCTCTCGGAAACGGGGGTGAGCAGCATCTCTGACCAGCTGCAGGATCAGACCTTCGCTGGTCGTAAGGAAAGCACCGCTCTGACGTAACCTAGACAAGGCCACAATCCTGTCCACTTGGCTGCAATGGGGAGGCAGAGAGGGAAATAAAACACAATGTTGATGGGAGGAAAGAAGGAAGCAAGTCGGCATCCCCACGGCCCCAGATGGTGAACCCTTCCTGCCCCGCCAGTCACCTGCGAGAAGAGCAAGCGTCCACCACCACGTGAACATCCAGTCCTCGCTCCATCACATCCAGCGCTGTGCTCTGTGTGCAAAGAAAGGACGTGTTGCGCCCAAAGAGGAAAGGTGTGGGAGTCCTTACTTTCCCCCTGCTACATTCCACCCCCTGGTGGGAGTAGCTGTGATCCACCCCCTAGTGGGAGTACCAGCTGCCCAGACAAGCCAGGTCGGTCTCTCTCTCTCCACTCCTTTATGGTCACTCACCCCCTCCTGACTTCTATGCATTTGGGCATGCCACTCAAGAGCCATGCATTTCCCAAATCTTAAGGCCCAGGGGTGAATGCAATTACTGTGGCTTCCCTCTGGCTTTCTGGTCGGAGGAAGCAAGAAGGGGAAAAAAATATCAAAGTGCTTTGTTCTGTAGGTTTTCAAGAATGTGGAAGTATTTTATCAAGCCCAGGGTACTGATTACGGCCTTCTCCTGGCTTGGGGAGGGGGAGATGGGGGACACTGAATAAAGGGCCAGAGCTGTGGGGCTTCTCTGCAGTTGACTCGCTGGGCCAAGCCACGGGCCCATCTTCCCCGGCCTCAGGCCCTGTACCCCACCGTCCCGCATCACCAAGAGGCAGGCCTCTTGGCCCGTACCATGATGCAGGCCTGCGTCTCAATGCCGCACAGCAGCACGGACTGGAGGTTGGGGACAGCAGCCATCTCCTTCTCCACCTCTGGGATGATCATGCTGAAACACGTCTTGGGGTATTTCCGAAGTTCTTCGGCCCCTAGCTCCGGCACCGTTGGACCCAGCCCTTTGGGGTACTGCTCAGTCACCACCGTCGGGATTTCAAGCGCTTTGGCAACCTGCAAGAGGAGGAGAGAGCGGGACTCGTCTGAGAGGAAGCAGGATTCGTGACTTCCTGTATCAGAAAAAAAAAGGCAGAACAAAGTTGGAGTCCAGTGGCACCTTTAAGGCCAACGGAGTTTTATTCAAGGCGTAGGCTTTCGTGGACACGCAGCCCTTCCTCAGAGACTCCAGAAACGGAAGTCGCCAGTCCATACATATAGGTAGAGGGTGGGCAGCAAATGAGCACACAGCATAATAAAGGTATTTAACAAAGGACCCAAACAGGAATAACAAGCTTAGGTTACCATTGGTTTGGGTTCAATCTTGGGGGGAAACCATTGTGAAGGAAAGAAATATGTCAAAATTGGAGACTGATAGGCAGTTGTTGTTGTTGTTCAGTCACACAGTCAAGTCCGACTCTTCGCGACCCCATGGACCAGATCCCGCCAGGCCTTCCTGTCTTCCGCCGTCCTCTGAAGTTTGCTCAATTTCATGTTCGTTGCATCTATGACACTGTCTAACCATCTCATCCTTTGCCGTCCCCGTCTTCTTTGACCTTCAATCTTTCCCAGCATCAGGGTCTTCTCCAGTGAGTGCTCCCTTCTCATTTGCTGGCCAAAGTATTTGAGCTTCAGTTTCATTATCTGGCCTTCCAGGGAACAGTCAGGGTTGATTTCTTTGAGGATTGACTGATTTGATCTTCTTGCAGTCCAAGGGACTCTCAAGAGTCTCCTCCAGCACCATAGTTCAAAAGAATCTATTCTTCGGCGCTCAGCCTTCCTTATAGTCCAACGCTCGCAGCCATACATGACTACTGGGAATACCATTGCTTTGACCATGCGGACTTTTGTTGGCAGGGTGATGGGCAGATGTATCCTTAATTGTGGAATGCTGAGAGGAGCTGACTGAGACCCTACCGTTACGCTCCCTCCGTCTCCTCTCGAGTGTGGAGGTAACCTTACAGCATCTTCTTCTTTGAAGTGGGGCAATGGGCTGCATAGAGTTATCTCCCTTGTCCCCAGACCAGAGAAATACATTCCAATCTACCATTCCAAATTGCATTACCTTCTAATACTCATTACATCTACTATGCTAATCTATGATTCCAAATAAGAAATAAAATAAAAGGAGGACTTTGTTGGCCTTAAAAGGTGCCTTAAAAGGTTCGGCTGCTTCAGACCAACAAGGCTACCCACCTGAATCTGTCTTTGGGGGGGGGGTGTTATTTTCAGAAAATGATATTATACTGTCCCCATGTGCCCAACTGTAGTACTGCAACTGGGCAGCTCAAACTTGCAGTTCTTGGGGACACAGGGTCATCGCTTTCTAGTGCTTGCAAGCAATATACCTGTCTCTCTCCCATTCTGATCCCACCTCCAAAGAGTGGATGGTCGTGAAGGATTCCTTTCTTTCCCCATATGCACAGTCAGAGAAACAGGACGGCAGTTGTGGCCCAGGGTGCACCAAAATGATCAGAGGGCTAGAGCAGAGGCCCTATGGCAGTGAGGGCGAACCTTTTAGAGACCGCGTGCCCAAACTGTGACCCAAAACCCACTTATGTATCACAAAGTGCCAACACGGCAATTGAACCTGAATAGTGAGGTTTTACTTTAGAAAAAACAACTCATACATTAACTTAAGATGATCCAAACAAAGTATCCCAATCCCAAATGCTTTCATTTACTTAAAATTATTTGGCAGAGAATTCGACACTTTAATAATGGTCTGGGCCTGGCTGGGGCGATGGCACGCATGCCCACAGAGAGGGCTCTGAGTGCCACCTCTGGCACCCGTGCCATAGGTTCGCCACCACTGCCCTATGGGAATCAGCTAAAACGCTTGGAGCTGCTTAGCTTAGAAAAAAGACGAGAGAGGGGAGACATGTCAGAGGTCCATAAAGTTGGGCCAGGTGTGGAGAGAGCTTCCAGGGGGAAAGCTTTCCTCCCTCTCCCGTAATAGTAGAACCTGGGGTCATCCACTGAAGCTGAAAGGTGGTAGCTTCAGGACAGACTAGAGGATTTCTTCACAGAGCACATAATTAAACGGTGGAACTCACTGCCACGGGATGTGGAATGCTCCCTCTAAGCTGTGGAGTCTTGTGAGCAAAAATTCCACTTCATGAGCTGCTGGCAATAAAGTTGTGAGCGAGTGATTTGACGACTGCATAAATTACTTTGCTCTGGAGCTATCCCTCCTGAGCTAAGACAAAAACGTGTGAGCTGGGAGGCTAAAAAACTGTGAGCTAGCTCACACTAACTCAGCTTAGAGGGAACACTGGTGGTCAGGGCTGCCAACCTGGAAGGCTTTAAAAGGGGAGTGGATAAATTCATGGAGGACGGGGTTGTCAATGGCTGCTAGTCATGATGGGCATCACCTTCCTCCAGTACCAGTCTCATTTCCCTTCTAACCCATCTCTGGTTCATTTTGCCAGTTTTTGTAGCAAATGGTAAAAGCACCTGCTAAGTACCCAAACTATCCTCCGGCACAGGAAATAATATGATTCTGACAGATGTACATAGATTCTGATGCAACATCTGCAGGCACCCATTGGACACCATCTACGCCAAATAAAACCCGAAACACATTGGAAACTAATGTTATTGTTATTTTAATCAACTTTATTTTATAGTCTACTTTTCTCCCTGACAACCAAGGTGGATTACACAGCATAAGTCAATGCAACCAACAGGAAGAGACATCAAATGAGATATGTCATAGGGCTGAGATTGCAGAAATCTGAAGCAAAGCAGAAATCGGAGCGAAGAGTTCAGACTGAGAGCCAGCCTGGTGTTGGATGAGGATCTGGGAGACCCAAGTGCAGATCCCCACTCTGCCATGGAAGCTTGCAGGGCGACCTTGGACCAGTCACATGCTCTCAGCCTGACCTACCTCACAGGGCTGTTGTAAGGATAAAAGGAAGGAGAGGAGAATGTTATAAGCCACTGTGGGTCCCCACTGGGGAGGAAGACAGGGTAATATAAGTATATGACACGACATGTTAAACAAAGCCGTAAATGGTATTACGTCAACAGAAATACAGTGCACTGAGAACAAGATAATGCCTTATAGCAAGAGATAACACATCCCATACACGGAAGTAAAGTCCACAGACCTGTTGCCTTCTCTGAAACATCTCCTGAACCACTCTGTTATAATATAGCCCGACCACATTCATTAAAAAATGCTCTCCTGAACAATTCTGTTTTACATAGTTTACAGAATGCCAAGAGTCCAAATCGCAAGATGTCATAGTCCTGCTGTACACTGCATTGGTCAGGCCGCACCTGGAGTACTGTGTGCAGTTCTGGAGGTCTCACTTCAAGAAGGATGTGGACGGAATGGAGGGGAGGAAGAGGAGAGAGATGGGGGT